GAAACCTTTTGTGAAAAGTGTATTTCTGAGGTTTGATGGCTCATAACACTACTTTTGTGTGGAGTAATACCATAAAATTATATAGTAATGGAAAGATAATGAAGGATGTAATGCAATGAATTTTATGAAGGAGTATTTATTAGAACAGCAGTCATAAAGAAAAAACGTGAAACCTTTGGTAACCATTGGTAACGTTTAGCTTTAATTACGGCCTTACAACGCCTTCCCATGAAGTGAACCAAGTTTTTAGTTCTGCAGCTGTAATAATGTGAAACCAAGACTGAATTATTGCCTCTGTTAATTGGGCTTTATTGCTGGGTTGCTTCTGAATAACAAATTTCTTTAGTCGGCTCCAAAGATTTCTGATTGGGTTAAAGTGTGGGCTATTCCCAGGCCATTCCAGCAGTGAAATATCATTATCTTGAATGCACCTTTTGCACACAGCAGCAACACGACATAGAGCTGAATCCTGTTGAAAATATATAAATGCTTCAGTATCTGGGAAAAGATCACCTGCGGAACACTTCAGTTTGGGCTCACGTTTTTCGTTTATGCATTTTTCCGCATTTATATTCCCATTAATGACGCAAATTCTGCCCACACCTTTTGCTGCCATACAACCCCAGATCATCACACTGTCTGGGTGTTTCACGGTCAGTGTAATGCAAGTAGGATGTAAATCTTCTCTGATTCTTCTCCAATTAAAGAAACTTGGATATTTCGTACCATCACTACCAAGCAAGGTAGTGTCCCATTGTTCCACTGTCCAGTTAACATGGGTTTAATCTTTTCAACCTATGCTTGAGAGATAACAATGGCTTTTTCCTTAGAATTCTAACATTTAGACCAGTCCTTGCACTCAACTTCCCATTACATTGCGCCATGTCATCTTGTATACACCCAGATTATTTTCTTCTGTCTTGTAGGCAAAGTCTCTCCACTCGTCCATCGTCACTTGCCTTTGTACACCTTTCCCTGCCTTAACAAGTCTGATTTTGTAGTGACTAAGTCTCCTTATACCTCTTCAAAAATATAGAAAGGCCAACTTTGGTTAAGTTTTCCCCAATCTCTCTTCTACTAATTTCTTCATAACTGTAGCCTTGTTCACTTAATAGTACAATCTTACATCACTTTCTGGGGACCATTCAACTCTTTGTGTCATTTCTATAATTTTATTATGTTTTACACCCTCACTAAATGAAAGAACACAAAAAACCAACCTACTTGATAGCAATCACATAACACACTGACAAAAGTCAACCTAAGCAAGTTGTGCTTCCTTTTTCTGGTTATTTGGCTATAACATTGGTTTTTGTTTTTTTTTTTTTCAGTATTTCTGTTTTTTATTATTTCTTTTTTTTTAATTAATATTTATTAAGTTTTCAAAGAATAACAACAAAAATTTCCAAAAAAATTTGAAAATACAAAAAACAAAAATGATAAAGAAATAAAAAAGAAAAAACCCAACCATAAAGAAAAAAAGAAAAAAAGAAAACCAAAAGTATAAAATCATTTACGATCTCTGTTAACTTCCTTTCTAGACTTCCTCCTCCTCCCCTCTCTTGTTTCTTAATTTTTAATTTTTACAGCAAATCCTTTCTGTTTTTTCATAACATTCTATCATTACATTTCCTTATTCTATTTTCCCTCTTGTCATATAAAAACTTTAAAACTCAAAGCTTATATTCAGTATTTACCAAATTCTTACATCATTACCTTTTTGCAAATCATTTACCAATCATTACTTAAGCCATATAGTTTCATTCAACATCTTTCAGACATATATGAACGTTCCCAATATTGAAAAATAGAAAAATAAAATAAAATAATAAGTCAGACACAATCCAGTCAACTTCCAGCGCCCCCTCCCCTGGACCCGGGATTGTCAGTCCTTTTAACCTCAATAGTCCGGCTCCTTAACCTGGTTGTCTCGTGTCCGAGGCCCTCAAATCTCTTTCTTGCCCCTTTCGCAGCTCTTCTTGATGTTTCCCTTTCAGTCGTGGGTACTCCAGCAGAAAGATACTTTTGACCCTTCGCAACAAGTCCATCCCATGCCCATTGTCCAAGCCAGACAGCAGATAATACCACTTCAAGTTTCCTTGAAACTTGGAGGCTCCGACTACTCCAATCCTCTGATGGCCCATCACCAGACTCGGAAAGTCCAGATAACCATATAAAGGGGGGTCAATCCATCCCCCCATTTCCAAATCTAACCACATTTCATCTTTCTGAATCTGATTTGTCCCAAGTTCATTTATCAAGTTCAAAGGCTGATCCTGCCGGTCCAAAGGTCCCTCCATCTCTGAAGCCTCCATCACTACAGCAGGTTCATATACTTGTAGATATTTTAACTGGGTTCCATTTACTTGCTGCTGTGCTCTGGTAACTTCCGTCATCAAGGTCGTCTCCTGACGCATCTGGTCCAGCTGGGCACTTAGTTTTGAAAAACCTTCCAGGAACATTTGTTCAAGCCTTTGTACAAGCATTGTCCTTCAAGGTCAAAAAAAAATTCTTTCCCACGATTATAGTCCTTCACTTTTAAGCTCTCTGCGTTGCAGTTTCACTAAATCCCACTAGAGGAAAACCTTTTTTCCTTTTTTTTTTTATAAAGGAGAAAAACATCAGCAACAGTCTTTCTTTTCCAGATACACTTTATCCAAAGTTCCCCTTCAAAATTCAAGAGGCAACAGTAGAGTCACAATGTTACCTTTCTTTTAACTATCTGTCGAGCTGGACAAGCTTCAAAACGTCAGTTCTGACAGCCCGCTCCTGGTTCAGGGCGGTGGAAAATTACTTTGTTTTAAACTCACTTCCGCAGGGTTAAAAGTCCAAAACAACCCCCTTCTTCTCCTGCAGTCAAAGGGGGTTCAGAAATCTTAGATGTTGAATTCTAGTTCTCTCAGAATTTAATTTTCAAGCTTTAGTATATTTTGTCTTTGCTTTCTTCACGTAACAAAAGAACGGAAGGCTGACTTCCTGTTTAGACCTTCCGTTCCAAGTCCCAATTAAATTCAATTTCAAGTCCAATTTATTTATTTATTCACCAGTCTTAAAAGTAATTCAGCTCTTCCAAGATCAGGTACTCACGGATAGATGTTTTAGATGCCAAATTGTCCCAGGAAAAAGGCAGCGCTCTCCGGAAACGGCAGTGCGGCTTTGCTGCACGAAAGAAGCAGTCGACTCACAGCACCACGCACCTCCCACTCCGGAGCCCGTTACCGGGCTCCTGTACAAGGGGGGAGAGCGCTCACGGTGCCCGCTGAGTCCCACGTCCACAGGCTTCATCCGCCTGTGGGTTTTAAGGGTCCCCGCTGCGCCGTAGCGGTAGGACCCAAGCTTCCGTGCAGCGGGTTCCCTTCAACTTGAAGGGAATTCCGCCATTTTCCGGAGGCGCCACCCCGGAAGTCCTCTTGGCTATAACATTTGATTAAATACAGGTAATTGAACAAACTTTGTTGGATTGCATTCTTGATTGCATTCTTGATCAAATTATCTTTCCATTGATATATAATTTTATGACATTACTCCAAATGAAGTGGTGTTATAAGCCATCAAACCTCTGAAATACACTTTTTTCTAAAAATCGTCCACAATTTTCACCCCTACTTTATATAAACAAAGCAACATTCAACAGCTCATCCGAATCTCATATTAAACAAACAACATAGGTAATGAACACACACGCAACTCCCTTCAGTTCTTCTCCATTTGTTCCTGAGGCTCTAATCCCTTTTTGTCTCCGATGCAGATTGTGATGAATTGGAAATTGAGAACAAAGGTGACCACGAAAAAATCCCCAGAGAGGAGAAACCACACAAAAAATTGGAGTGTGGAGAAAGCTGCAGTCAGAGCTCCAATTCCACTTCCCATCAACAAAAGCTCATTGGAAAGATACTCTATCAGTGCATGGAATGTGGAAAAAGCTTCACTCATAGCTCCTCTCTCACTTGCCATCAAAGAATTCATACAGGGGAGAAACCCTATCAGTGTGTGGAATGTGGAAAGAGATTCAGTCAGAGCTCCGATCTCACTTCCCATCAAAGAATTCATACAGGGGAGAAACCCTATCAGTGTGTGGAATGTGAAAAGAGCTTCAGGAAGAGCTCCAATCTCACTTCCCATCAAAGAATCCATACAGGGGAGAAACCCTATCAGTGTGTGGAATGTGGAAAGAGCTTCAGTCAGAGCTCCTCTCTCACTTCTCATCAAAGAATTCATACAGGGGAGAAACCCTATCAGTGCGTGGAATGTGGAAAGAGCTTCACTGATGGCTGCTCTCTCACTTCCCATCACAGAATTCATAAAGGGGAGAAACCCTATCAGTGTGTGGAATGTGGAAAGAGCTTCACATGTAGCTCCTCTCTCACTTCCCATCAAAGAATTCATACAGGGGAGAAACCCTATCCGTGCGTAGAATGTGGAAAGAGCTTCAGTCAGAGCTCCTCTCTCACTCGCCATCAAAGAATTCATACAGGGGAGAAACCCTATCAGTGTGTGGAATGTGGAAAGAGCTTCACATGTAGCTCCTCTCTCACTTCCCATCACAGAATTCATACAGGGGAGAACCCTATCAGTGTGTGGAATGTGGAAAGAGCTTCACATGTAGCTCCTCTCTCACTTCCCATCACAGAATTCATACAGGGAGAAACCCTATCAGTGTGTGGAATGTGGAAAGAGCTTCACATGTAGCTCCTCTCTCACTTCCCATCAAAGAATTCATACAGGGAGAAACCCTATCAGTGTGCGGAATGTGGAAAAAGCTTCATTAAAAACTCCGATCTCACTTCCCATCAAAGGATTCATACAGGGGAGAAACCCTATCAGTGTGTGGAATGTGGAAAGAGCTTCACTGTTAGCTCTAAACTCACTTACCATCACAGAATTCATACAGGGGAGAAACCCTATCAGTGTGTGGAATGTGGAAAGAGCTTCACTGATGGCTCCTCTCTCACTTCCCATCACAGAATTCATACAGGGGAGAAACCCTATCAGTGTGTGGAATGTGGAAAGAGCTTCAGGAAGAGCTGCACTCTCACTTCCCATCACAGAATTCATACAGGGGAGAAACCCTATCAGTGTGTGGAATGTGGAAAGAGCTTCAGGAAGAGCTGCAGTCTCACTTCCCATCAAAGAATTCATACAGGGAGAAACCCTTTCAGTGTTTGGAATGTGGAAAGAGCTTCACTGATAGCTCCGCCAACTTCTCACTTTCCATCAAAGAATTCATACAAGGGAGAAACCCTATCAGTGTGTGGAATGTGGAAAGAGCTTCAGTCAGAGCTCCTCTCTCACTTCCCATCACAGAATTCATACAGGGGAGAAACCCTATTAGTGTGTGGAATGTGGAAAGAGTTTCAGGAAGAGCTCCTCTCTCACTTCCCATCAAAGAATCCGTACAAAGTTCAGAAAAACCATTATACAGCTTTAGGAGCCAGGCAAATCCACACCTTTTTAACCAGGCCTTTTTCTTATTGACATCTAATGCTATTTTAACATGTGATGTTTTGTGTTTTTATGTTGTGTTTTTATGTTCCAAGCATCCTGAGACGTGTGGGTGTAGGGAATACAGCCACTCTTAAATTCCTAGGGGTCTTTGCCCCCATAAAATATTTGAGGAGGCCACGCCCTAGGTTTTCTTTGTGTTTTTTCAAATGCAACCTTTTATTCTTCCGCTACTTGCCATACAATTTTGCTTTAAATTTGCCCTTTTAAGACATTTTAAAAACCGCACAAAGGTCATGAGAAAAACAAAATACAAGAAAATACAAATGTGGACAGGTCCCAACGCAAAAGTTGCTTTAAAGGAGGCTTTCCCAAACTTGGGTCCCCTGCAGCTCCCGGGACTTCAGTTTCCATCATCCCTCCCCATTGGTCCTGCTAGCTAGGGATGATGGGAGGTGTAGTCCAAAACCAGCTTTCTGCACCACCTAGAGTACCCACACAATTTTGGCTTCTATTGGCAACACACATAGGAGAACAAATGAAAGACAAACTTGGAAAGGGCCATACCAAATGGACATCCGGTGTGAAGAGATCACTTTCCCCACTGCTGAACAATGCCACAGGTAGAGGAGATGGAAGGCTAGAAGTGTTCTCTGGGGCAAGGGGAGCTGCTGGGAAATTGAGCTACCGGCTCAAAATATTACTTTTTTAAAAAGTCGCTGCCTTTATAGGCATTGCCATTCAAATGGTGTGCATGCATCATGTGACTGATAGTGCAAGGTGGCCCTTACCAATATTTTATTCAAGTCGGCACCACTGGGTCGGGCGGTTTACAAATTAAATAAATACATAAATCGCCTCCCTTTGCACATGTTCCAGCTTGTCTATATCCTCATTTATCCTTTTTAAAATTTATCTGAAGATTTTACAATATAAACATATAGGATGAAAGCATGGCTTTCTCAAAAACAAGCCAAGCCAGAGAAATCTCTCCTTTTCTTTTCTTTTTTTGGATGGAGTTATAAACTTTGTTGATCAGTGGACTGCTGTGGAAATTGTGTATTTTGATTTCAGTAAGGCTTTTGACAAAGTCCTCTGTGATATTTATGCGAGGATGCTGGTAAAATGAGACTGAATGAGGTAACTGTTAGGTGGATTTGATGGACCAAACCCAAAGAGGACTCCTTCATGGGTCCTCCTCATCCTGGGGAAAAGTGACCAGAGGGGTGCTGCAGGGTTCTGTCCTGGGCCCGTTGTCGTTCAATGTCTTGATAAATGACATGGATGAAGGAACTGAGGGGATGCTCATCACATTTGCAGACGAGACCAAACGGATCATAATGGCATCCTCTCTCTTCTTCAGCAACAGACAGAGAGACAAAGAACAGTGCAAAAGCACAGCAGAGCGGAAGAGATAAGACTGACTTCCGTTCTTACACTTCCCAATCCTAGGAAAGTAAACAGGGACATGTGACATACAAGCCACATATTCAACAACGGGAGGAGTGAATTGCTAACACACCACACATGATTGCAGGTGATATAAGGAAAAAACCTGCTCCTTTTTCCTTATGGGGTACCCAAGAGCCCATATACAGTCCTTTTGTACGTTCTCTATCGGTAGGAGAAAATAGCAGAGACCAACCAGAGAATATTGAGAAGCAAAGCAGCTAGTAAGCCTGATCTTTATTAACTGTTGCAACAGGGTGCTACCCCACACGCAGGAGAGAGGAGGAGGACCCTGAGCCCTGCATGCAAGCCCTTATATAGATATGTAAGCCCTTATATATGCATGTAAGCCCTTATATATTTTTAATTGCCCGCCCTGGAGTCCAAGAGCACCCCCAGAAACATCATACATACATCACAGAAAAGGCAGTCTACAACAGAAATCTGAGTGCATAGTTTTTACCTTGTCTGCCAGGTTACCTGTTAATGGCCACTTGACTAGATTACCTGGGGAGGCTGGCCATTCTTTTGTAATGATAATACTTCATTCCTGAGCCAGGTCACAGGCTCACCCTATTCACACCTTAAATGTGCCCTTAAGGCAGGATTTGTGAGGACAGAGACAATGGGGAGGTTTCTGCATTTCCTTTTACCTTGTAGAGAAATATTTGAGGTGACTGAAAGAGTGAAAGAGTCAAAACGGCTTTAGGACTTTTCCTGTGGGTTTTGGACATGTGGTTTATATATTAATATATGTGTTTGCTTGGTACATTTAGATTTATATTTACTAAAAAAATTCATAACAATTCCCCCCTTTATTTTTTTCTAAAATATTGTTGCCCCACAAATAATAACCTGGTATGTTGTAAATGGATGCCTTCGTTTAAATCTTAAGAGGCTTGCCTGTCAGGCCTCTTAAAGCTGTTTGCAGATGTAGCAGTGCACATAGCTGGACATAGGATATCACATAAAAAATAACACATGTTGCATTTTGTTCCTAAATTACTTGTGGCATTCTAGCACTTTGGGAGAAACATTCTCAATAGTGGTCTCTGCTTTACACTTAGCGGGAAGGTCAAATAATGAGTGAAAAATGCAGTTTGTTTTGTTTCTGCCTTTTTTGTGTGTTCCCAGGTGTCAAAGCTAGCTTTCCTCTGGTCTCACACCTCCATCATATCACAGCAGCAACAATCCCTGGTGAATCCCTGTAGGGCTTTCATATTGACCATGTCACCTTGTAGTGGCACAGGTTTGGACATTTCTTGAGAGAGATGTCTGTGCCTTGGCCTTTCTATGGTATTTTTATTATTATAGGCTCTGGTCTTCCACTCTAGGGAAGTTGCTCAGTTGTTCCTAAGGGACCAAAAAGCTAATTGCAGCCTGGATACAATTGTCCAATTCAAACGGAGTCCAATTAGAATTTATATAGCCCCATGGCAGGAATAGTAGAATTTATATAGCCCCATGGCAGGAATAGTAGGCGCAGAGTAACAGCAGCGCATCAGGTCCGTGCTGCTGGGACAAGACGGCACCGAGAGCCGTACTGGAGGCGTCAGTCTCCACCACGAAGGGACGAGAGGGATTAGGATGAGATTTCACCCCTCCCATATCCAAGAATCTGCTGATGTTCTCTGCTGATTCTCCAGAGAGGAGGGGCGGTTTCTGCTCTCTACTTATTCCGCTCCTGCCTAACAATAAAGTGTCAGTCAGTATCGGAGAGAGAGAGAGAGAGAGAGAGAGACTGAGTGTTAGAGAGAGATCGTGTGTATAGATAAGGTTGCTGCTAAGAGCAGCTGTAGACACACTGGGCCAGGGATTTTGGTCATAATATACAATTTGAGGATTGGGAAAAATTATGGAAAGAAAACTTAAAATTCACTGCATGTACGACGTTAAAGGAAAATGTGATGAAAATGTTCTATAGATGGTATATAACACCAGTAAAATTGGCAAAAATGTTTAAGATGTCTAATTGTAAATAGATTGTAAATAGATTTATTGCATTAGCCGAGTGGCCATAGCATGATATACATTGAAATAACAACATAAAATGGGGGTGGGGAGGTAGAGGTAGACATCGTCCTGGGCGAATACTTAAAGAAAGTGAAAAAAAAAAAAAAAAGCTGCTGAGGCTGGAGGAGGACCGTTGGAGGGTCCTTCAGCTCCTCAGATTAGTCCTAACTCGATTGTCCTTGTACAATAAGGCTACTTGGAACTTCGTTCGGTTGTGCGGCGTATCGACTGCATCTGTGGTGTTAAGGAAGAAGTTAGTGCCGCTTTCCTCTTCATCACACTAAGCAGGAAGTTAGCTGTCATCTCAGTAATCCAACAATTAGAATCCTGCAAAAAGAGGGACACTATCCAAGGCTGGATTGGGAGATGGAACTTACTCACGAGGGGAGTTAAAAACCGAGATCTTTCATCTGTCCAGTTGGGACAGAAGAGCATTACATGTTCCATAGTCTCCAGGGCCGTGTCATTACAGGAGCATGTTCTGTTTGCGATGGGAACTCTGGAATAACGACCCGACAGAACTGCTGTAGGAAAACAGTTGAGACGGGCACAGGTAAAAGCCCTTCGCTTAGTCTCCGAAGAAATTGTGAAGCAGTATAGAGGGATCCCTTCAGGGGGGTGGAATAGCTAGGGCTAGGCCTGAACACGGTCCTCTTGCACAAGAAGCTGTGTTGGAGAAGTCAAGTTGCTGTAGTTTCTTTTTAATTAGGGGTAGGGCCACCGGGCTGATACACTCTAAGTTAAGAACAGTTTTACAATTCAAATTGAGAAGAGAGCGGAATTTGAGGTTAATTGTAGTTTTCCAAGGGGAATTATGAATATCTCTTAGGATCAGATTGGAAAAGCCACCTCTAATTCGAGCATCCGATGCTAATAGGTGGAGGGTGTAGGAAATGGCTCGGCTCCATGCTCGTCTAGCAATTGAAGGCTGGGCGAACTCGAGTCGTAGGGCTGCACCTGAGACACATCTCGGGACGCCAGAAAGAGATCTCAGAAACATATGAAGTGGACGATCCAGGTTACCTGATATTGCTGTAGTCCATACTTCACATCCATATAATAATTTAGGGACGACTTTGGCATTAAATATTTGAATTGCTGCTGGAAGGTGTTTGCCGCCCTTCTGGTGGTAAAATCGGACAATGGCGTTAGAGGTCGTGGTTGCAGCGAGAAAGGCAGATTGTAGATGGGTGGTCCAGGAGAGATTATAGGTGAATATTAATCCTAGATATTTAAAGGCTTTTACCTTTTCTAAGTAGCCACCTGTGATCTTAAGCGGCTCCAACTTGAGTTTGCGGGAACGAGTGAAGTGGAGGACTTTCGATTTTTATAATTAATATTAAGAGCTTCCGCCTTACAATAGGCGATAAATGCATTAACTGCATTTGCTAGATCCGCAGCTGTTCTGGATAAGATGACGGCATCATCAGCATAGAAAAGGGAAGCAACGGGGTGGCCTGCTAAGTGAGGAGGATACTTAGATGCTAGCTTCAAAGTGGAAATTGCATCATGAAGATAGAGATTAAACAGTAAAGGGGCCAAGAGGCAACCTTGTCGGACGCCCTTGGCCGTTGGAAATGGAGTAGTGGGGAGCCGTTTGGACTAGTTCGGACGCGAGCTGTGGTGTTTGAATAAAGGGAGATAATTAGGGAGAGAAGGTGCGGATCAATTCCCA